GGTGAAGGCTGCACACAGGTGATTTTAACCCTTCATGGACTGTAGGCTGAATATTTTGGCTCATGGGGTTGTCTTAAAATGTTGTATGAACAGAGAGGGCTTTCCAGGCATACCTCTGGCAGGCTCCCTACCTGGTGTCTCCATGGGTCTTGCTCATCACCATAAATCTGCTTCTGGTTGCAAAACATGGATTTCTGGGGCACCAGAGTCACTCATTTTTCCTTGTGTGGTTGCCTGATCTTCATGTTCCAAACCCTGTCTAAAGCTTTAAACCATAATGATTGTTTCATCACCATCAGTGCTTGCCCCCTGAATGTGCAGCCACTGCTGCTCAAGGCAATGCTTGGACAGACTGAGGACACATGGAATTTCTGGAGGAGAAATGGAGCTAGTTGGAAGGAGAACTCCGATAATTCTGGTATTTCAATTCAATTTTCATCAGACTGCAATATTCCCTGGTATTAGATCAGATTTTATTTTACCTGAGCATCCAAAGGCTTTCTGTCTTTCTCCCACTCAATTTCAATTTTCAAAAATGTGATCTTTAGAACTGTATTGATGTATTGACATTGTCAACAAAATGTTGCATTTTGATTTAGTGACATCTGTATTTTTGTGATGAAAGAACACTCTCTTGGAGAATGTGTGACTTCTAGTAGCTAGCATTCATCTCCTAAGCTGTCTTCCCACATACAAAAGGCAATGAGTTTACCGAGTGCTCCATACACCAAGATTAGGGTTTATCAGTCACAAACCCTGATAAATAATACAGATACTTGCCAGGTTCTCATCACCCCAGCACCCTGGGCTCACCTTCCCTGGCAGGGGGATGCTCCTGAGGAGTTCTGAGCATGCAAGCCAGTGCTGGTGGGTTTAGTGCAGTAAGGAGCTATGGTTCATCCTGCAAACCTCTCTCTTGAGATGCTCAAGTCATGCCATTTCATTCCTAAGCCACAGCAGGTAACTGGTTTGATATGCTGGAATAACCTTCCCACTTCTCTACTTATCCCCAACCACTAACTGCAGCCTCTCTGCAAGGTGATTTCAGGCCATTGCCTTTCACTGAGGGGCTCACCCTGCAAACTGTAATGCAGAAGTCGTGCTCCACCCCTAAGGGAAACACTGAGTTTCCTGCAAAAATATAGACATTCTTTACCAAATCTAATGAAATGTTAATTTCAAGCATAATCCTATGCTAATACGAGTATGTGAAAGTGGGACAATTCTGTTGACAAGAGTAGTGCTCATACATGTGCTGGGTCATGAGATTTTGTTACAGAAAAGTATGTGGGCTGTATTTTATTCCCAGTAGCTGTTTAGAGACAGTCTAGCATGGGAGCTGGAGGCCTTGCTCACTAACAGCCACTCTGGGTGAGATAAATGGACTCCCCATGACAGTGCAGAATGGGTTGAATTTCAGGAAATCTAAATTCCCATATTTTTCTGGGATATCCTAATTCTGAAAATACCAATTTTATCAACTGGCTCCAGTCTGTCTTAAAGACATGTTTGAAATATGTAATTTTAGCTTTGAAAGGAAGTATTTAGCTAAAGAGTCAGGAACATAGTTCAGATGAAAACTCTTGCTTCCTCCTCTACTGAAACAAGGCCAATAAAAGTTTGTGAGTAATTTTAAGGCAATTCGGTTAGATTTGCATGCCACCTTCTGCAAAACAAGTTACATCAATTGTTTCTTCCCTTCTTAGCCCTGTTGCAGTAAATAACAGAGAAAGTATGTATATATGAGACTCCTGGTGTTCTTCTTCAGCATTATAATCTTCATCTGTTATGGCTCAATACCCTGTGTTATTTCAACAGTGGTGTTATCCACAAGAAGTTACCCACGCTATTCAAAGTCAGTCTGGCTGAAAGGGGAAAGAAATAAAAGAGGCACTTGAAGACCCTTGCATGACTTCAGAGATTTTTCTGAAGTCAAAAGGTTTGTATTAAGAACCAGAACCATCGTGACTCATATATTCCTAATCAAAATGCTGCATGCGTGAAAAGCTGTTCAGTTGTTCAGAGACTGAACTACGACTCCTTACAAGAGGAAAATAATACACACAAGGGGAAGCACTTAAATAATTGATGTGCTTTTCTTTTATCTGCTTGTAGGAGTGACAAGAAATCTATGTGGCTGGCACTAATGGATAGCATCTGTATGTCAATAATTGCTAATGAGGAAGAAATTGGAGTGCATTTGTCCTGAAGTGACTGATCTTTCTTTCTTTCTTTCTCTCCCTGTGTTACAATGGGAAATTATTAGTGTAAATTTTAGAATTCTATTAATTTTCAAATCGCAAAAGGCTTTAAAATGCCTTTTTTATTATTATTAATTCAATCCAAAATTACTGTATGATTGCTTACATGTAATCTGCATTCTGGCATTTAAGATCCTTTTTTTACATCTTCTGTACTACATTCAAACAACAAAATAAAACTTTGTTTGCATCACATGTTTAATTTTGCATTCCACAACAGTGAAAGGGTGCAGCCACGCTGGAACTGAACAGAAACCAGTAATATAAAAACACCCAATGCTTTCATCATGAAAAATTGCATAACCATGTCCAGCACTGAAGTAGGGTACTCTTACTGAACAAAGTCTCTCGAAAAATTATTGGTGTATCAAGCCGCTCATGTCCAGCTATTTAACTCAAAGATTGTATTCAGCCATTCCCCCCAAGTTGCTTTTCTGAGGGAACAATTGAGCAGCTGTTCCTACTGCATTCTTGTGTAGGCTGAAAGCAGTCTAAAAACTCTGGCATTAATTTCCTGTAACTACAAAGTGCAGTTCTCCAGGTTGTTCGTGAGGCACACCCTTTGCAAAGAGGTTACTGAAGCAGTGCATACACTTGACACTAATACTGTGCTTTGGCTAAACTTATTTATATCCTTGTGCATGTGTACACACAGGCCAATGCACAGGGCTGTGGGGTTTGTGTTAGAAGCAGAGCTCTGGACTGCAGCCACATTGCAGTGCTAATGATATCTGTCACTGCACCAACTTTTTGTAGCTGTATTATCAGGCTGCATTCAAAACCAAGGATTTTAGAAGTACAGTTCCAGCCTTGCTATGCTCATTGGATTCAGCAAAGGGGCATTTCTGCACTAGTGAACACTAAACAGTGTATTAGAAAGTTTGATGGTGATTTTTTGCAACTCTTTTTATGGAGTGTAATGTTTTAAACTGCTAAAGAATTAAACTTTGACCTATCTAGTCAAAGAGTAATAGCCACAAAGAGAGTTATTTCAAAATTCCTTGACATGAAAAGCAAGCTGTCAGCAGCTGGTTCACTAAGATTGCTTAATAACTCTGATGGAGTACCAGCATTTCTCTCTCCACTGCTGGTTTTGTGCATATTTTTATATGCATATATGCGTCCACACATCTCTAAGTATAGGAACCAGAATGTTTTGCAAGCAGGTGTCCCTTGGGACAGACTGGTTGTGTCTGGAATGGGGCAGGGTGAGCCCTGCTTCCTGGGAGCAGGCCTGGAAGCAAGGCTGGGCAGCATGGGAGAATTATTGGGGGAACAGAGGGAAATAAACCTTTGCTCTGTGTATGCTGGCACATTTCTGATTCATGTCTAAATATAATTTTAATTTTCATTCCTGCTCATAGAAAATTGCTTCCCTCCCTCAATGCATCCATGAATGTTTTTCTGGAAGAAAACTCGAAGGTCCTTTCAGCAGCAAAGGTAATTGAGATATCAGTAACTTCTGCACACAAGATGCCATGCACTCCAGATATCAGTTTCATCATTAATATAAGATGCCAGCTGATACTGATACTGTCACCCTGAAATATCCCATCCCCATCTCAGAGTGCTTAATAAGCAAACTGGGGCCAGGCCCTTAAAATCAAAGCCTGGAGAAGCAAAACTTTGTTGGTTAACAGTTTACCCGTTTGAGCAGGTAAGCAGGAAACACTCATTTTCATCTCTCCTGTCTTCAGCTGATAGCAACAGCCCAGGGAATTGTGCATGGTGCAGCTCAGTCTGCACCATATACATAATTTATATTTTTCCACTCTAGTTATGAGTGTGCTGCTTTGGACTTGGGATTTGCTTTGCAAAATGGAAGCAGAGAGAGGAGGAAAAAAGAAAAACACTGCAGCAGCCTTCTTCTCCAACCCCACCTTTTAGCCCAGAACCTCATCTTTGATGCACAGCCTTCACAGACCAATGGAATAGGAGTGTTACACATGTTGTATACATATATAAATTTGAAAGGATAAATGCTTGCCATGGCAAAAAAAAATGTGTTTCCAGTAGTCCATCTCTTTATTAGTAAAGTGCCTTGGCAGAGAATTAGGCTATCATTTTGACAAGAGTTTCCTTTTGTACAGGCAGCCTTGATAATATTTACAGTTCCTATAGAAGTTTTTTAAAAAAACAGCTGAGAAACATGCTTCTTGCTGACATATTCTTCTGCTCAGAGAAGTTAGACAGCTATAGCCCTAGTGAAGGATTCCTTTCCAGATATGGGGAAAGTGTTTAATGCACTTATTTTAAAAATAATGTACATTTCTATTTCCTTTCAGCAAATAAACCCTTTGCATTACATTTATCTGCCCTTGCTGTGTCGGTTACCATCCAGGAAGGTTTATCAAGGAGCAAACAGGACACACACACAGCGCCTGGTCCTGCAGCACCCATCCCCACAAACTCTGCTTAGCGAGCTCAAGACTGCACACATCGGTACCATCATCCCTACGGGTACCGACACTTCAGCCCATCTGTCTGAATTCCAGAACTCTTCCTCCTACCCAGCCCCTGAGCGTTCAGAGAAAATCCAGGCATCACCACCCTCACCAGCCCTCCAGCACGGACTCGTAAGGCACCGCACCAGCATCTGCAGAGGTTTCAGGGAGATTCTCGCTCCCTGCTGCGGCTCCGGCTCCCTTTGAAAGCAAAGCGGCTTCGCGTGTGACTTTGCAATCTGAGAATGTGAACCAGCCGGCAGGACACTGGGGTAAATATAAATCTGGCGCTTACCCACAGGCAGTCCCTCGCAGTCTGACATCGTGTGAGAAGTCCTCCTCACCGGGGGCTTAGGAAAACCACTGCAGGACCGCAAGCGCGGGTCCTTCCCTTTGCAAAGGCAAGGGGGGAAAAATATCAAACAGTTTACACAGCCACCCTTCTCCTGCACTCCACATCTACCCACCCAGAGAGCTGCAGCAACACTCCCGTCCCTGCCTTCTCATTATGGGATGTAAAGATAAGAATGTGCTTTTGTGCCAAAAGAGTGTGCTATTGGTGGATAAATTTGTTGTCATCCCTCCCCTTCGCAGAGTTTCCTCTTTAATGTCACAGAGGCACATTACCCTGTCGGAAAGGCCATCGAATATTTATGAAACTGCTTTTAAGGGCTAAGCCGCAAATGCGCGCGGGAGAACAGAGCTCCTCGCTGTGCGCTGGGGCTGGGGGTGGCAGCCGCCCCGCAGGGCTCTCCTCTCCCCGGGGGCTGCGGGGGCAGCTGATGGGCTGGGGAATAGCTCTGGCACCTTGCTCTGTGCCTTCTCCTTCTGCAGGGTCCCAGTACCAGCACTGCTGGAAAGGCGGCAGAAGCCAGGGTGTATCTCTTTAAGGAGGAAGGAAGAAAAAGGTCTTTGTTTATATTGTAATATCTGAGAAATTGTTTTGTGACACTGTTACTAAAGGCTGTTCCGTAGTTTATAATAATATTGTGAGTGCAGATTTCTCTGTAACTTCGTGACTTTTCTTGCTTAAAACATGCCATTTTAATGCCAGTTTAGTGGCTGCTCCTACAACTTATTTTTTTAATCTTTGAAAATGTTTGCTTGGGATTTGCTTGATATGAGATTCCCAGACTGGCATAGTCAGTGGAGGGTACCGCTGCACACTGGTTGCTCATTAGGCACCTTAATGAAGTGCAAGCAAAGGCTCTGGCAGTGTTAGAGCCAGGCTGGGCTTGGCAGAGACGTGTGCAGGACCTGGTGGGAGCCTCAGCACCCGGGGGGGGGGGGTGTTGATTTGCTGCCACTTTTTCTCCTGGGAACAGCCAGCAACAGTCTGGGCTTTGCCTGACTCAGACCTTTAGTGTCTGAGCCCTTCACAAATGTCAGGGTTTTGTACCCAGAGCTGGAGGGAGGGCTGGGAAGAGGCAAGGGAGGCTCTGGGAAGCACTGGTGGGGTTCCCCAGCAAGCATTTCCAGACCATGTGGTCAGAGACAGCCCCTGGGGGAAATGAGCCATCAGGAATACCTTTCTTCAAAATGCATCGAAGAAAAAAATAAAAAAGCATAAATTACACGAAATATGCTAGGATCTCAGGGTGCCCAGCACCTCTGAAAAATTTGGGCTGTTTTTACTCAGATGCTTCAGTCTAAGCACCCAAAGGCTGACACTGCTCAGTCTGCCTGAGCTCTCCCTGAAGACTTTTAATACTCTGCTCATTACTCAGCAACACAGCTAGCCATGGATTCAATTCAGGATGTCAGGCCTCTGACTAAGAAGCAAAAATAGCTGCAAAAGTAGATTGTGACATGTTCCCAAAACCATTCCTCGGGTTGCCTACACAGGGTTGGGCAAGCAGAGCCAAAAGTGTCCAGTGGCTACTGGGGCTGGCCAGCACAAGGATCTGCTGGCACAGTTCTGTCAGGGCAGCCCTTGTTAGTGCCTGCTTCTTGATCAGCTCATGCAACACACATGGAGATATTCACTGGTGTAAGGCTCACCTGGAGGGCAGCTCTGAGGAGAAGCAGAGCCTCAGATCATGCTCTCTGCCAAAGAGGCTGTACAAGGAGGAGAAGTGCAGGGCATCATGACTAACCCCTCCATCCTGCTGCCACCCACAGACCCAAGGAGTGGCCACGAGCTATTCTGGCAGTCAGGGAGATGTCTGGTCTTGATCTCAGTATGCATCTGGGAAAGGAAGACAGCCTAAACCAGACTGGGGGACTTTTCCTGCAGTGTCATCTGCCTGCAGAAACATATTGCTCCAATGTGTGAGAATCAAAGCTTTCTTAGCTCAACCCTGTGAAAATGCAGGCTCCCAGCTCTGTAAGCATTTACGTGCCAATTTAACTTCAAGCCCCACTGAAGTTCCTGGAACTGCTCACAGTTATAAACACACACATAAGTATTTGCAGGATTAAGAGCTCACCATTCCTCCTTGTATTCCGAGCAAACAGCTGCAGCTGGTTTTGAAGTTACCTCTCACAGCTGTGTGCTGGTGCTCCTCTACTGAAGGTTAGAGCCCTCTAGCAGAGCTGGACAAGTGCCTGCAGGGAAGGCATGCCAAATCCCAGACTGGTGTCTCAGCTCTATGTTGTCCTCCAGAGGAATTTAAGAAGCCTCAGAAACCCCCATTACATTGTCCATGCTGCAGGTGGTTAGCATCTTCTGGGAGAGGGGCAGAGGAGCCAGCAGAGAAGACTGAGGGGGAAGGACAAATACATCTTGAACTATTACAGCAAAGTTGGCAAGAGTTCATCTGCCAGAGCCCTTACTAAGATTTGGCGTTGGGAGAGCTCTTCAGTGAAACACTAAAGCAGGTCAAAAGTTGAACAAATCAGACCTAACTCTTACAACAATACTCACAAACAAACACCTTCTTATGATGCAGATACTTCAATCAAAAAACTAGCTTTGATCCCTGGATACTTTAGTTATCATGCTGGGTTTTGATAAATTATAAGACTTTTTTTTTTTTCTTTGATTAAAACAGAGTAGTTCTTTTAGCTTCCCCTGTTTCTCAGCCAGAAAAGAGAAGAGCCATGTTTGCTCCTGGAAAAAGGCCAAGCCTGGAAAATTTAAATCTGACAGAGAAAGTTTTGGGCATTTATGAATAAACCTAGTGTCTGTCATGGCAAAAAAGGCAAAGGCCAAAAATTGAAATAAGCAATAAAAGGTGAGAAGTAAGTAGACACTATTTCTGCAGGTCGAAATTGGCTAAATATTTGCCAGTAACTGCTCTCACTTAGGCTTTCCAAGGAACCTGAAGGATGCTTATCCCTCAACATGCAGAGATCCATTTTTAAATCTCTCTGCTTCATCCTACAGACAGCCATCTGCATAAATCCATGACAAATACCATGAGTGGAGTAGTAAATGCAATGTATGGAAGGAAGTCACTGGAGTATTTCCTAAAAAAGATTTTCCTGGACCATTTAGGTTCCTCTGGAAGACAGTTGCATTTTCCTGATGAATCTTGAAATACTTAAGCAGTTGCTATGGTGTCCCCTCTCTGGAGATTTCCAGGAAGAATTATCTGCCCAGGAATGTTGTGGATGTCCCATCCCTGGACATGTTCAAGGCCAGTCCTGACAGTGCAAAGGGATTTTGAGATACAAAAGCCCCGGAGCTGAGCTGATGTGCCTGGGAGTAAAGGGCATATTTGGGGAACCCTGGGTGCAGGGCACTTACCATGGCACAAGTACATAGTTGCCTTAGAGCCCAAATGAGTAAGACATTTAGTGGGACTTTGTTTCTCATCTACATATTTACACTTCCCATCTGACCTGTGCCTGATCTAAGTGCCTAAATATCATGGAAAATCGAGGCTTTCAGATTTTAAATCCCATGGGGAGGTCATAATTTTCCCTGTGCCCTGATTGACTCAGCAGTCTGACTGTGAAGAGAGTCTGATCCACCTGGATGCTCCCAGCTGGACCAGAGCTTTTGCTATTGCTGACTTGCCTCTTGCTCAGCCATGGATGGAGCCAGCCTCATCCAAACCTCACAGGAAAAGCAGGGAGCTGTGCTATTCACTGTGGGATCTCAGGTCCTGCCAGATTCTGTCTGCCTGCTGACATTACTGGTGGAAGGGCTTTGCTAAGCTCAGCACTGCTGTAGGGGCATGGGTGAGTTGTTCTGCTTCCCTCTGCCTTTCTCTCTCCTGACAGAGGGAAATCATGGAAGTGAGAATTATTTCTTTAGCTAACCGAGTCAGATCTGATTATTAAATCTGCAATTTTCCATGAGATTGAAGCAAGCTCCTTACTGCCTGCTTCGGCAGGCGTTTATATCTCCCATCAGAGTGATTTCCACGCAGTTTAAAGAGAGAATGGCTGAAATGCGGTTCTCCTTTCTAATTTATGCAAATTCCCTTGGGTTTTTTCCTGCAATGTGAAGAGATTTCTGACGGTTGTGTATGGAGGATTCTCAGCCTGGGGAGGGGGAGGGGAAGGACAGGGCTAGAAGAGAAACTGCAGGCGGATACAAGCAGGTTGGCATCAGGATGTGGATGAACTTCTCTCAGAGCACTGAAGAGCTCAGAATGTTAGGAATTTGTTAGCTAAGACACTTCTTTCCCTTTTAAAAATCCCTGCAGTTGGAGATGGGGGATGGAATGTGCCTTTCTGTCCTCTAATGTAAGGCGTAAAATTAACCAGAGCTTTTGGATTGCACCCGGTTAAAGGGCAGAGAAGCAAGAAGGGAGGGTGCTGGCTGGCCACCAGCAGTCCCACTGTCATTCCCACATCTCCTGAGTAATTGATGGGGCTTTGGTGAGGTCCCAGATGTACCTATGGGATCAGTGAGCCAAATCCAGGGCCAGTGGGATGCTGTGCCATGAGTGCATGTGGCAGAGAAATGAGCTGCTGCTCAGATGGGCTTGAACCTCTGTGCAGCAATCAGCAGATGGAAAAGCAACCAGGCTCAGTGAGAAGCAGAGCACCCAGGAAGTCTCAATTATTGGAATTTTATTTAATTATTGTTTTCTGACACATCTTCTTCAACTTGATGGATGAGGATTGTAATAATGCAACTTCTAGAGGAGCTGATGCTCTGACAAGATCTCATGTGGGTTCATCCAGAGAAGGAAGAGTGAGTAAAAATAGGCAAGATACAGCTGACAGCTAAAACTGCCCTCTAGGAAGCAATAAATACAAAAACAATAGCAACCCCCCAATATAACTAGGCATGTCATAATTTTGCATTTATCTCTATTTTTTATGTTATTAGCAAGATTTTCACTAGTAAAAATTGAAACTGAGCTTTGTATTCGAGAAAGGAAATGTCTCCATCATCTCCTCTGATGTCACCCCAGAGAGAAGATTAGAAGATTAACTATGTCAGGTGACACCAATCCAGCAGCAGGGAAAATAATTTTCATTCAAAAAAGAAAATGGGAAGAAATTCTGTCTATCTCCAAGAAATGTGAACCTTACCAGTGATAACTGCTGGCTTACAGAGAAAACACTTTATGCAAATGTAAAAATATACAGTAAATAAAATAAGAAGATCAAAGATTCAGTTGAGGATTTATCTTAAAGAAGAAATTAATTGATAATCTGAATCTTGGTGGCATTTTCATCCCATCTAATTTATAAAAGGTTGCATTCTCTGGGGGGAGTTATGAAAGGCCACTGCAATGATGTGAAGAAACAAATAA